CCAAGGAACAGAGTTCAAAAAAGGAAAATCAAAGTGTTTACTTTCCTGTAAACAGTTAAAACAGCTGTAGTATGCTTGTGGCTGAAGTTACTTGGTAGAATTTTTTATTACCTTTCTCTCACCATTAATAAGAATGCAACAGATAAGAGTGATTCTCAAGCTTAATCCAACTTCTTTTTCATCTTTTAAGTATACAGAAAGTAAGCTTTGCTAGGATCATGAATAATCATAAATGTAGATGATTTTACCCTAGAAAACCATTCTGAATATCGACTATATATTTTTTTTTAAGGGAAAGAAAAGAGCCTATAGCTGTCATGCCTAACAGATTGCCCTGTTGCTGCTCCTGCCAACTTCTGAGAGAAGAAATATTTCCATTCTGTTCCATTTCTCAACATAAGTAAATAAGGAAGTAATATGGCTGATTTCCGTTCTGGTGGCTCAATATTAAGCTGGCTGAGGAAATGGCTGTTTGCAGAAATAATTCTGACATAATGAAAAGGGGGAAAAACACTGGTGCGCAGATGGCATTTTTTTCACTCTAATTATATTGGGATATTAATGCTTCATTCTCCATAATTAAATGTATTCTAGGCTGTATTTATAGCTCGTCTACTCTTCTCTGCCTGCACTGTCACATTTGGAAAATGGAGGAGTTCCTATACCCTGAACAGGAATTGATAAAGTGGCATTCTGAATTGGCAAGAGGGAGAAAAAGCAAAGGAAGAGCAGATTATTAGAATTACTCTATCCTTTGCAAAGAACAAACACAAAGTTGTTCTGCTTAAACTCAAGCATTATTATAAGGATATGCAACATAAAATAAGTCAGCAATATGTGAATAGAAATGACTATTTTGAGGGCCATTTACTTAAAAGGTTCTAATTAAATTAAATCCAGTATTGCCTGGACATATAAGGTAATTCTCTCCTGGCATGAAATCCTGTGCCAGGCTTCCAATAGTTTCTCAACGATATTACACACCTCATCACTGGCATTTGGTCAGCCTCAGTTCAAACTTTAACATATTTTCTGGCATAGTGAGAAACATTTCTGTATTTATCTTTATTGGAGCTTCGCTTTAAACTCAGGATTAGTTCAGTTATATGTACAACTTTTGTCCTTTTGCCATAAGCATTTGCTGAATAGCTACTGAATGCAAATGACAAAAACAATGACCAAATAGGCTTAGATTTATAATCCCCCCACCATTTTTTCCCTCTAGTTTAAAACATTCTTCAGTATCTTAAATGCAGTATAACTAAAAAAGAGCTCTTCACTCTCACCCACAGATATACTTGCCTAGGATATGCATTTCCAGTTTTGCAGTATCAAAATTTTAGGATTATCATGGCTTAGTGGTTAGGAGGACAGGTTCTGGAGGTAGACTGCCTGATCCTACCCCTGAGTAAACCCATGGGCTTACCAAACCTTAGTTCTCACATGTATCGAATAAGGTTATTAACAGTAACTACCTCATGGGGTAGTTGTGAGGATCAGATAACTAATGTGTGTAAATTATAAACACACGCTTCTGTTATTATTCTTCTACCACTTGGCTATTTTCCAATTAAGTCCTATTGTCCCTAAGTCATAGTCCTTTTATTTCACTGGGGTCTCACACTATCCTTCTAATTTCTAAATGGGTATCCTTACCTCCAATCCTACCCCTTGGATATATCCAAACACTGCCTCTTTCAGACTTAGTCCTAACCATAAACCCATCTCTTGGTGATTTTTCCACTGACTATTAGATAAGCTTAAAATTCCAGGGTGGCATCCATAATTCTCCAAGAACAGATTCAGGTGGTTAGAGCAGAAGTCATGAGAAGGAGCCCAGCAGTGCCTATATGTACAATAATTGCTAGTTGAAGGAATGAATGGATTTAGAAGTTAAGTCTGGTTTTAGTTGTACCTCTATCACTAATTAGCTATCATGTACTCTAGTGGTCTCAGTTTCCTCATTTGTAGGCTGATTATTGTTATCACTCCTTTTTTTAAAAAAAATAGGCCAAATGAGAGATTATAGCTAATTATCACTCCTTTCTTTGCTCATTTCCTATATACCTTCCCAGCTTTCCTGACATGGGACAAAGCCTCAATTATGCTTGTTTCACTCTTAATTCTCTCCAAATAACTTTTCACCTTGAAGTTCTAGTTCTAATTGTTCCTTCTGCTTAAAACTTTCTGCCCCATCCCCATCATTATATTCCTCTGGAAATTCTACCCTCTCTGTAATATCCGACTATATTTCACCTTATTCAGGAAGCTCTCTCAACTCTCAAACCTCTTAATTTCAGATGAAGTTCTTTCGCTTTGTTAGTCCCCTAGTACAATGAGAATACTCTATGTAAGATTCAGCAGTGCCCCTCTTACCAGTTAGCTATCTGTTCAAAGGACTGTAAGCTTATGAATAATAGTCTAAAAACCTTCTCAGTCCTTGGCATAGAGACACTTCATCAACTTGGTAGTGAGAAAGTTGCCTACTACAAACTTTTTATTAAGTTTCTAGAGTGTCAGTCTCAGGAAACTGTTAATGGAGAGATTTGAAGGTAAGCAAACAGGCCTATTTTGATTTTAGTAGGCATAATACTCAAGAGTGGAGAATTTTAACTGGTCAAATTATACAACAGGTTTTCTCAAACTGTAACTCTCAGACCTTTTTACATCAAACTAATCTGTGGTGCTTGCTAAAGAGTCAGATTTCTTGGCGCCACTCAGACTTCCTGACTGGGCATCTTTGGGGGAAGGCCTGGACATCTATATTTTTAGTGTGCTTAATTTTGCTATTTACAAATAAAGCCCACATTCCTCGATTGTCATGACAATATTGTAGTTCAGTGATTCTCCAAGTGTGGTGCAGGAATTCCTGGTTGTCCCTGAGACTTTTCCAAAACTATCTTTACGTTAATACTAGGATGTCTGCCTTTTTCACTCTCATTCTCACACAATATTGTGCGATTTTCTACAGGCTATATGATGAGAATGATATAGTAATGAATTAATGCAAGAGATATGAGAATCTAGATGTCTTCTATTAAGTGGGACATTAAAGATATTTATAAAAATGAAAAACAACGCCATTCTCAATAATTTTTTGTTTGGAAAACATTCTTTATGAAAATGCTATTTATGTTAATATATAATGAGTTTATTACTATCTTTTAAAATGAATAACTTCTTTGACATTACTTCTAAAATAGCAAATATTGATAGCAATAACCCACAAAAACTCTGAAATCTTCAGTAAGTCTTAAAAAGCATAAAAGGATTAAGACCAAAAGTGTGCTGCTATGATTATCAGCAACATTTAAAAAATCAGATTAAAATAGTTAACTGATTTAACAAGATTTTATACTTAAGCCTTAAATTTTATTCTTATTACAAAAGAAAATCACAGAAAACTATTCATTTTATATAGGTTTTAAAAAATTTTTTCTTGGAGTAGACATTTTTAACAAGCTCCCAAGTTATATTAATACACCTAAATTTAAAGAATGACAATTGATAGCAAAGGAACATATCTGGAGGGTTATGAAAGTGACAATTACTACATCTGGGCATTAAGATGGTAATTCTGATGGCATTAAATGTAGACGGAAGGCCTGGGTTCTTAAAGGACCAAGTCCCTTCACCTCTCTGGGATTTCTTCAAATCTATGCAATAAGGTTGTGTTTAATGCCTTTCTGGCTCTGGGTTTCACTCATTCCCACTGCTCAAGAGCAACAAAAGGGATTCATCTTTCTGGGTAAACTTAAAGTCATAAACCAGAGCATGTTACTCATTGACTTAGAAGCCTTCAAACGTTTTCCACCGAGTTCGAATTAAAAATCCTTACCCTGGCTCACAAGGCTTAACAGAATTGGTACTTAAGTCCCTGGCTTCCCCTCCTTCTATTTCCACCTTGCCTTTTTAGCTGCAACCACGGTGGAACTTTTTTCTTTTTCTTGACCTTGTTAAATTTGTTCCCACTATACATGGCCTTTGCACTTGCTATCCCCTCTGCCTGGAATACTCTCTTCCAGATCTTCCTAAGGCTTATTACACCCTCAGTTCCTTCTCCCACATTATCCTGTCCAAATTCCTTTAAAGCACGTACTATCACCTTAGAGGATGCCATCTGTTTACTTGACTACCACCTTACAGGATGCCATCTGTTTACCTGATTATGGTCTGCTTCGCACACCAGAATGTCAGCTACTTAGAAAGCAGGACCTTTGGGTGCTAATTCAGATACGTTCCTGGAGCCCCCGGTAGTGCTTAGCAAGTATTTGTCACTCGGTAAATATTCTACGACAGCGAAGTCCTGTACCCTGGCCAGGGCTCCAAAAGGATGGCGGACATTGTACCTCCCACTACCCACGCCTCGGCGGCCTCTAACCTCCCTAGCTGAGACCCCAGCCGAGCCCTCACTCACCCAACTGGGACCAAGCAGCTTCTTCCGGCCCAAGAGGATGCTTGACCCGGAAGTTTTTTCCGGCAGGCGAGCCCGACTCCGCGTTGACGGAGTGCTTCCGGGACAGCGGGCGCCGCGAGTCGGCGGCAGTGGCTGTGGTGAGATTCGCGGCCAGCTGGGTGCGGGGCTTCTTGGGACCAAGCAGGCGGGGTGCTAGGCCTGTCCGACAGCCGGGGTCTCGGAGGAGGGGAAGGAGGCGACCTGACAGTGGGCGGCGGGCACCTCACGGCAGGGCTGGGATAGCGCTTTCATTAGTGGAGCGCTACGTTTGTGTGAGGAATTCGCGTTGTCGTCAGCGCCCCGGAATTTAGGAGCGCATGGTTTACACCCCATCTCCCGTTTGGGACCTGTTCTTGGATATGGGAAGATTTGGGAGTGCACGTTTGTCTGCTTGGGGACAGCATGTTAATAACGATCGCAGGGACACAAACCACCGCCGCCACAAGTACTGTAATAATTGCGGCTGTTAACCTGGGAGCACTTAACGTGCTGGTCACCGTCCCACGTCCTCACTTATGTCACTTACTGGATCTTTACAGGAACCCATAGTCCCGTTTACTATTCCTGCGGGACAGAAAGAGGTCTGACTCCAGAGCTGCTGCTTTCTGGACAAAGCGTACTGCTCTCCATTTTGGTAAATGAGGGAAAGTATTTGTTTGTATGTAAGCGTATGTGTTTTTATTTCTTAAAAATATGGGTCAGCCATTTAGGTCTATTGATCCAGTTGTTAGAGTCTTTCTCTTGCAGTTATGAAAATAACAGGCACCACAGAATATCTAGAAAACTTACAAAAACATTAAATAGCGCAATACCAAGTATCTGATATTTATTCCCCACCCTCCCTTTTGTGTCTTCTTGCTAGATATGAATCCATCGAGAACAGAGGTGGTATAGCCATTCCAATAATGATGATGCGGTAATGACAGTGTAAATAGCCTTTACCACAAAAAGTTATGTTCCTACTTAGCTCAGATGTGTAACAGATTTTGGCTGCTCATTAAATCTTTGAACCTATGTTTCATTTGTTGCATAAATAAAAATAGTAATAACCAGGATAACGAATGTTTAATCTTTTGGAGTATGTCCTTCCAATCTTTTATAGGCTTATATGAATTATATTTAGGTAATGTGTATTTTCTATATGCCATACTACATATAGTATGCTATGTATAATATTTGTGGTGGTAGTGATGGTGATGTGTTGTAACCTGGAGAGGGCATAAGGAACTGATAGTGGAAAAGTATTTATTCATATATGAGAGCTGTCCAGAAAGTATCCAGCTATGTAATAGGAAAATTAGAGACATACGTGGCTGAATATGTTCCAGACAGTCTGTTACACAAACATTAATTGAACTTTGTACAAGAACTGTCTAGTCTTTCCTAATAGATAGTACCTTGGAGTGAGTGGGACAGAAATCATGTCTTACATTAGTTCTCTGTCTCCAGAAGTACAAGATACCTCTGTGTATGTAATAGGTACTCAGAAAATCTTTGCAAACTTCATAAATGAATACTTGTAAGTTGATTTGTGCATCAGTGAGTGGGTGGTTGTATCTGGATTTTTTTTCTCTGTGTTTTGGGAATGTACAATGTATGTATATCATACACCCATATAGTCTAGGCTCAATGGTATGTCTTAATTTGCCTTCCTGGCCTGACCTCAGGCCCCCCCATCATTCTTCTCTCTACTTTATTAACTACTGTTAACTTTCCATATTCCCTACTGTCACTCTTCAGTCCTTTGAACATTCCCCTGTATTGTTTCCATATCATTAAATTTTCTCGTTGGCATCTTTATCTGTCCACATTCTAAGTACTTTTAAAGGCAGATGTTGCAGACTCAAATGGCTGCAGGGGTTAATTAGGTAACATAAATGAGTGAAGTGGATTTGGGTGGAGATTATAGGGAACCGGAGCACTGCTCTTTCTAACCAGTAACTAACCAAGTCAAATGTGGGTCCAGCATTGCCATATCTTTCAATTTTACAAGAGAGAGTGTTGGAAAGTTTTTTATGAAGTCTGATTTTTAAATGTTAATAACTAATTTCTGAAAAAAAGCTTAAATACTGTGAGAAAAGTAAACACGTAGATGGGATTTGGCTCCCACATTCCCAATTTGTGAACCCTGCTCTAGGCTTATTTAAGGTACCTTTTTTATAAATTATGTTGTCTCATGATTCTGATGGACGTCTTCCTTTCTGTTCTTTTATCATTTTGAATGTACTTCTATTATAATGCTGCATCCATCCATCAGCCTTAGTCTCTCTAATACATTAGAAACATTTAGATGAAATGGATTGGGTCTAATTCTGCTCTTAGTACATAACTATAAAAATGTGTTTACATATCTAAAACATGCCCACATGTATCTAAAGTATATTTATTTGTCCCTTGATGATACTTGGTTATTCTGGAAACAGAAATACCAATAGTATCTTGGTTTTATTGGCCAAAGAGCTCTACTTCAGAAGGAATTAAATTGGGTAACGTTGGTATTCAAAAGTTGATCTGACATAAATCCAATCTGATATCTTAAATTTCATGATGTTTCTCAAAAACTGAGGTAGAAATGATTAATAACTAAAACAATTTTAAGATCAATAAAAGAACAGATCAATAAATTGGCCCTTTTTGAAATGAAAATCTTTTGCTTGTGAAAGATTCTGTGAAGACCTTTAAAAGATAAGCTGCAGACTGATTTGCAAGTTTGTAAGTCACAGATTCCACAGGGGACTGGAATCTAGAATACATAAAGAGAAGCAGGCACAGTGGCATGTGCCTTTAGTCCCACCTACTCTGGAAGCTGAGGGGGGAGAATCACTTGAGCCCAGGCATTCGAGGCTGCACATGAGCTATGATTGTGCTTGTGACTAGTCACTGTACTCTAGCCTGGGACACATGGGAGAACTCATCTTTAAAAAATACATATATATATTTTTAGGTGTTACAGATTCAAATGGCTGCATATATACATATATATGTACATATATGCATGTATGCATATATATTAATATTTCAATTAAGTTTTAAAAAGTCTTTACATGTGTACATATATGCATATGTACATTTATAAAATCTTTACATATGTAAAGACTTCGCAAAACTTAATAGAAAAAACTCATTAGAAAAATGGGCAAAAGATACAAAGATATTTCACTGAGGCGATAGATAGCAAATAAGCACATGAAAAGAAAAAATAAGCACAGCATCATTAGCTGTTAGAGAAATGCAACTTAAAGCCACCCAGCCATCAGAATGGTGCAAGTAAAATGCAGAGACAATACCAAATGCTGGTGAGAATGCAGAACAACTTGATCACTCCATTGCTTGTAGGAATGTAAAATGGCACAGCTACTTTGGAATAGAATATGGTAGTTTCTTATGAAACAGAATAGATACTTACTATATGCCCCAGCAATTGTACTTTTGGTCATTTATCCCAGAGACACGAAAGCTTATGTTCCCACAAAAACGTGTATTTGAACTTTTATAGTACTTCAGTCCCAAACTGAATACAGCCCAGATAATCTTCAGTGGGTAAATAGATACATTTTGATACATGCATAACATGGAATACAACTCAGAAATAAAAAGGGAGGGACTATCCATGCACACAACTTAAATGGATCTCCAGGGACTTATGCTGAGTTAAAGTCAGTCTCAAAATTAACATAGCCTATCATTCCATTATATATCAGTGGCTATTGCAAAAAAAGGATAGCACGGGATTCCTCAGATTGAACCATTCTATATACTAATTGCGGTGATGATCACACAAATCTACACATGTGATAAAATTTACAAAACTAAGTACACACAGATGAGTGAGTGCATGTAACATTGGTGTGAAATCTTAAGACTAGTAGATTGATATCAATTGTGATATTATACTATAGTTATGCAAATTATTAGTATTGGGAGAAATTAGGTGAAGATGTATGGGATCTGTATATTATTCCTTATACTTCATGTGAATCTATCATAATTCCAACCTAAAAAGTATAAATAAATAATTTATACCAAAAAGCCTATATAATTTTTTCTTGGGCTTTTATTTTACCAGGCAATGTTCTAATCATGTCAGATAAAGATGACACTGAGACTCCAGTGCTAACTGAAACTGTCCCCGATGGAAACTGTGAGCCGGCCAAGAATTCTGAGTGTGTTGACCAAAATGCCAAGCCAGGGAGTAAATCAGAACCTGTAGGTTCCACTCGGAAAAGACCAGAGGCCAAACCTTCCAGTGACCTTGAGACTTCAAAAGTTCTCCCTGTTCAGGTATCACAGGCTACAACCTAAACCGAGTATTAAAATGCTGGGATTTAAAAATATTGTTGTTAAAAAGGAATTTGGAATTAATACCAGTTTAGGATTGCAGCTATGAAATGCAGTTCTCAGTTCTGTAAATGCCTTTATGAGTAGTTTGAGCCTTTGCTGTGTGGTACTTAAACATGCTGATAGCATACTTGTATATCTTCATTCAAGCAATACATTTCCTTAGGGAAATAGTATGTATTTGTTCACTCATACTTTTGGCTCATAATTAGATACTTGTCTATATATTCTGATTCTCTAATTTTTCCATTTCCTTTTTCTTTTTGGTTTTCTGCTCACTGGGAAATTAGGAGACTACATCCAAAGATGTACCCCAGACGGGATGGGGCTATTGGGGCAGCTGGGGCAAGTCCTTACTCTCCTCAGCCTCAGCTACAGTGGCCACAGTAGGTAAGGTCATCAGTCACTTAGTTATTTTTTGTGTATATTTTGCTATGTGTATTTGTATCTGTGTTACAAATGACATTGCTAATAATTCTTTTGTTTTTATTCAAAGATTTTATAGTTCGATGGTGCATTGGTAAAGATAGGCTGATGTATATTTCCTCTAGAGTTTGTAGCATTTTTTATTAAGAGTTTGAAATCTGGGAATTATCAATGTAAACCTATTTGGTGATAGTCTCATTTTTTTATAAGGAGATAGTCCTTACAAATTAGTTATTTATTTTCAAAATAACATGTCTTCTGGTCATAAATGATTCAAATTATCTGTAAGTTTGATTTCTGGTTTGTTTGGTGACTAATAGCCAAAAAATGTTATCATTTTTCTCATTAGGGCAAGGTATTTCAACTGTCATTGAGAAGGCAGAGACTTCCCTTGGAATCCCTAGCCCCAGTGAAATTTCAACTGAAAAGTATGCCCCAGGTCAGTATATGGAAGCATCAAGATCTAGAATTATGGATTGAAATGGAGCAGTTGAGTTCATTTTTCAGTAACTATCAAACATCTGATACTCAGGGCATCATGGGGCTATAGTGAGAAAAAGCATTTGGAATCTTTAGATGCTGTTAGACATCTGTGTCCATTAACTACCCAGTGTCTCTCTTTACTTCTCTTTTCATATCTATGAAATGGGATGATATTTTATTTCTCAAATAAGCCTATGAATATAGAATGTAAAAATTGTTTAGCATTTTGTTTGGCATAATTGAGTAAGAGACAATAAATGAATCTCTTACAGGCACAAAAAAATTTTGTCACATTTTAGCTTTGAGAGTGTATTTTTTTGTGTATTCACACTTTCACGAAGTTATTCTAGAGATTTGTCTTGATCAAACAGAAACCTACTCTCATATAAACCATAAAGGATAGAATTATAACCAGAGATCAAAGGGCCTGCAACTATAAAATAGAAAGTTTTGCAGGTTCTGGTTTGCTCTGTTTCTTAAAGTTTTATTATCTCTCAGTCTTGATTCTTTAGGGTGATCTAAGTGTAATTTTTTTTTTCTTGAAGCTGACTGACTTTCTCTGCTTATCTTCCCATCTTTTTAAGTGCTCTCTTAGAGACTGTCAGGCATCAGAAACTGATGCTTGTTAGTATCTGAGAGGGCACTTTAAAAAATGGAAAGAGAATTAGGTTGTCAAGAGTTCATGGGTTGAGTATTGCTAGGAGTCAGGATCACATTATTTAAACATGGCTGTGAAGAACTATGTAAATAAATTGGGGACATTGTTCTTAGTGATGCCTGCACTCTAGAACAATGCAAATTATAGAATATATGACTAGGCTCGGCACCTATAGCTCAACCGGCTAAAGTACCAGCCACGTACACCTAAGGTGGCGGGTTCGAATCCCCAGCCCGGACCCGCCAAACAACAATGACAGCTGCAACCAAAAAAAAAAAAAATAGCCAGGCGTTGTGGCGGGCGCCTGTGGTCCCAGCTACTTGGGAGGCGGAGGCAGGAGACTCGCTTGAGCCCAGGAGTTGGAGGTTGCTGTGAGCTGTAATGCCACGGCACTCTACCCAGGGGGACAGCTTGAGGCTCTGTCAAAAAAAAAAAAAAATATATATATATATATGACTAAAAGTGAATTTATTTTTCTCATTTAAGAGCACTAGAGGTAGTCTAATACAGAATTAGTTTAGTGGCTGAATGGTTCTTTGCTGGCTTCTCAACAGTTTTCTTTCTTGGTTTCTTTATGGTTGCCAGATAATACTGCAACTACAAATATCATGTTCTAAAACAACTGTCCTCAAAGTCAGGATTTCAGTTGATAGGGAAGTGTCATTTCTCCTCCTGTATCTTTTTTTAAAGAGAGGAACGTTTTTTTCAGCAATCCCCAGCATGGCATATTTCTTCTCTAGCTGTTACATTATAAATAGGATCTCATGTTCTTGAGGTAGCAGGTAGAGGTGATGGGAGAATAAATTTGGGGCATTATCAGGAACTTTCAGATTAGGAAATGTGTTTGGCAGGCAAGGAAAAAGAGGGTTAAAAGAGGCTTTGAATACGGAAACAGCATCATCTTCATAACACCTAAAGATGACTACCACACAGGACACTGTTTTAAGATTTCTTAACCTAATTAGGTTTCTACCTAATTTTCAGGTATTTAATGAAGTCTGTCTACTTTGGTTGGTAGGAAGTCAAATGTTGTCCAGGCTAACATGAGCTTTGGGGCTTGTTTAGCCTACAGGTCCTTGGTAGTTCTTTGCTTAGACTTGTGGAGTCTTCAGTGCCTCAGCAATGTTGTATTTAGGGAAAGACAGAAGGGGATGCCTATGAAAGTTCTTACAACTTTTTAACCAACAGAGTTTGACAGTTAAATTCATGAACTCATCCTAGAAAAAGTGCCTCAGACCTCATTGCCGAGTATCACTATGGTTGCCTTTGAAATATTCCCTTTGGGAGGCTATGCACTGATGCCAGTGCCTAATTCCCCCTTCAAAGCAATTTTGGAACTCTTTTTCTGAAATGACCATCAGAGTTGTTGTGGAATGAGATCTTCCAATTAAGTTTGTGAACTTGCCACCATGTACTTACGTTGGTAGCACCATACAAGCAACTTACTAAGTTTTCATAGCCTCGGTTCATATATCAGTGTCTTATAGCTGTGTTTATGTTGACCTGTGGCGGTGTCTTGCTGAGTGGTATTTCATTGTTGTGAGTTTTTGTGTATCATATGATAGCTCTGATGGTCATTCCAGGCAAAGAGTTCCAAAATTGCTTTGAAAGATAGACTAGGCACTGGCATTGGTCGTAGCTTCTCAGGGGGAGTACTTTACATGTGACCATAGTGATATTTAGCAATGAGATGTGTAGGACTTTGTTTAGGACAAGTTTGTGAACTTAATTGTCAGCCTTTGTTTGTAGCTGTCTCATCTCTAGTCTTCTGACATGCAGATTCCAGCTGGACTTGAGTCTCTGTTTCCTCCACTCATTGTGGTTGCTATTTCCTGTTTGGGTTTCCTTCCCTATGTTGTGGTCTAGAAACCTCTTCTAGACAGAATGCCAAGGCAGTTGTAGGGTTCACTTTGTTATCCTTCTTGCATGGACCAAAGTCTTATACTGTCCATAATGTCCAAAGATAGTTGTTTTTTATATGTTGTACAGTTTTTTAGTTTCTGTGGTAGGAAGGCAAGTCTAATACCAGTTAGTCCATAATGGCTAGAAGCAGAAGTCCTTTCTCTAATAGAGTATTTGATATAATTTAGTTGAGGCTATTTGGCATAATAGTGTTCTCCTATAAGATATTTTTAAAGTTAATAGAATAAATTATTTTTTGAAACATATCTTTGTTTAATAATGTATGTCTATTTGGTTTCTACTAATAAGCATAATTTTCTAGTATAAAATTTAAAATAGACTGGATTTTATTCCCCCCTACCCCCCCACCCCACCCCTGAGATAGAGTCTTGCTCTGTTGCCAATACTGGATTGCAGTGGCCCAATCATAGCTCACTGTAATGTTAAATTCCTGGGCTCAAGTGATCCTTTTGCCTCAGCCTCCTGAGTAGCTGGGATTACAGGCGTGAGCTACCACAACTTGCTAATTAAAAAAAAAAAGAATTATAGAGACAGCGTCAGGGTTTTTAACCTACATGATTTGACAATTAAGTTCCTGAAATTATCCTAGAAGTTCATTTTTGAATATCATGATTGGTTGCCTTTGAAGTACTGTGTTGCCCAGCTATGTTTCCCTGACTGGTCTAGAACTCCTGTCCTAAGTGATCGTCTGGTCTTAGCTTCCCACAGTGTTGGGATTATAGACATGAGCCACTGTGGTTGTCCTTAAAATAGGCTAGATTTCAAAATAAGAGGTTTATCAAGTTATAACTTAAATACAGTAAAATTTGTTCCTTTTAGGTATACAGTTTTATGTGTTTCGATAAATGTGTACAGTTATTTTTTTGTTTCTTTAGAGACAAGGTCTTGCTTTATCACCCACGTACTATGTATAGTTGTAGTACATAGTGATTATGTAGGTATAGAATATTTCCTACATCTATATAGGCAATTGAGATATATGAGTATTGTTATTACCCCAACAAAGTTCCCTCATGCCCCTCTGTAGTCATTTCATTCTACCTGTTACCTGCTCTTGTTGATCACTGATTTGTTTTCTGACTATGGTTTTACCCGGTCCAGAAGATCATAAAATTGGAATCATTCATTATATAGTTTATCGTTGTGTCTATTGGTAGTTTGTTCAAGACTGGATTTTACTTTCCAAATGATATGAAAAGAAAAAGCTCCCTATCTTAGCTTTCATTTTAAAATAAGCAAATGGTTTAAAATAATAAAAGAAAGGGCTAAGGCTTTGTGTTTAGGAAGTTGGATCCAATTTTTAAAAATTTACATAGATGTAAATAAAGCAAAACAATTAATGGACCTTCCCTTTATGTCAACACATCCCTTCCCTCTTGTAGGAGAGACAAATGCCAAAGAGAATGAAAACTCTTCCCCAGTGGCTGGGCCATTTGGTGTATTCTCGACCATCTCTACTGCAGTTCAGAGCACAGTGAGTAAGAAATACAAGGTGGCCTGCTCCTTTTCGTTATTATAATGGGTTTGTGTATCTTTCTCCCTCTTTTTGTTTGAAAAGCCCTGGGGATTGATTAAGGGAGTTCAAATCACTGAAAATTAATCACTTTGATCTTAAGGATAGAGTGAGAACTGTTTGAAAACTTTCTTTAAAACAATAAAGAAGAGAATAGGAGATGAAGAGTTACAGGGAGGCAATGTACATATTTTATGGACTAGAAATTCTTAGTTTGATGGCTCTAGAATATGTCTCAGCCCTGCAAAAATATTTTTCTCATAATTATATCTTTTAGACAAAGGGGAAATGTGATCTTTGTATTAGATACTTATAAAACTATAGATGATCAGAAACATTTTTAAAAGGATTATATAGGAAGCTTAGTATCTTCCCTACATGAGGATAGCTAATACTTTCATTTTGAGACAGAGTCACACTCTGTTGCCACATGCTAGAGTGCTGTGGCATTGTAACTCACAGCAACCTCAAACTCCTGGGTTCAGGTGATTTTCCTGCTTCAGTACCCCAAGTAGTTGGAACTATAGGTGCCTGCCACAAAGCCTGGCTAGTTTTTCTATTTTTAGCAGAGATGGGGTCCCCCTCTTGCTCAGGGTGGTCTTGAATTTGTGAGCTCAAGCAGTTCACCCACCTCGGCCTCCCAGAGTGCTAGGATTATGGGTGTGAGCCACCATACCTGGGCTCTAATGCTTATTTTATTTTAATTTTTTGTTGAAATACAACATCCATACAGAAAAATGAAATCGTAAGTGTCCCATTTGAATTTTCATAGTGTGAACACACCTAGACTAAGAAACATTGTAATACATCAGATGCCCCCCTTGTGTCCTCTCCTACTCTTCTGTACCTCTCCCTCTTCCGCACTGAGATAATCACAATCCTGACTTCTGCTATCATAGATTAATTTTGCTTGCTTTTAAGTTTTATATAAATGGACTCACAGTGTATATACTCTTTTGTTTCTGGCTTCTTTCTTTGTCACATTTTATTTTTTCATGCCAGTTATTGAGCATCGGGGGTCGTTTCCAGTTTATAGCTCTTACAAACCCATGTAGTACTGTGAACATTTTTGTAGTCTTCTAATGAGCCTCTGTATACATTTCTGTTTGATGTGTAACCTTGAATGGATTGCTGGGTCATACAGCTGTGGTAGATAGTGACAGTTTTCCAAAGTGGCTATGCCTATTTATGTTCCTACAACTAGTATATGATTGTTCTGGTTACTCTACATTTTTGTCAGTGCTTGACATTGTTAGCCACTACTTTTATATAATAAAGACGTGCAGGTTGGTTTTCTCAATATTGTTGTAATGAGGTTGCATGTGTTTTCCAGGGAAAGAGTGTTATCAGTGGAGGTTTGGATGCCCTGGAGTTCATTGGGAAAAAGACAATGGATGTAATAGCAGAAGGGGATCCTGGATTTAAAAGAACCAAGGGTCTGATGAACCGAAATTCTACACTGTCTCAGGTACTGATTGTCTTACCTTTTTACTTCCTGTCTCTGTTCTGATCTGTATTTTTGCTTATGTTAACTTGGGACCTTGTTAGTGTTTCTTTTTCAAGGATTTTCAGTGATTTTTTGTTTTCAATTAATGCTTTTTTGAGGGGAGGAAGTGTGATGAGAGCTCTAATGGTTAGAAAAAATGCTGAGACTTTTTTTTTCTTCCTCTTTCTTTTCAACAAGAGCCTCTGTCAGTGCACTGCAAAGTGCTGAACTCTGTCAGAGTTGTTTATTAGGTTAATGTTCAAATCACTTTCAGAGAAATACCTGGCTTCTTGAGTGTTATTTACACTGTCTAGGATCAAATTATGTGGTGTGATCATTTTTTTTTCCTGAAGCTCCTGAGCTATCAGATTTGAATTACAATGCCAAGAAAGAAAGGATAGTCCTCTGTAACATAATCTGTCTCAGCTTTGCTTTCTTCAACTCTCAAAACTCACCCTTGAGCTCTCATTACTAGCTACAGTATAACACTTCTATCTCATTTTAGGTTTTACGAGAGGCGAAGGAGAAAGAAGCGGTAAGGACCGCCAGTGAGGTTACCATGGAAACAGACAAGAAAACTCATTATGGGCTACTCTTTGATGAATTTCAAGGCCTTTCACATCTAGAAGCTCTGGAGATGCTTTCCCGAGAAAGTGAAATAAAGGTAATTCCAAACCTAATCCCAAGTGGAAAAAGACTTCGAGTGAAAGAATGCTGCATATTTTCTTTTCTCTTTGAAATACATTTCATTGAGATATGAAATGTATTTTAGATGGAGGCTTGAGAGACTCTTCTGGAAACACTACTCTAAAACACTAAGACTAATGTTTAATTGAACTAGTGGCTAAAAATAGAATGAGTCAAGTATTATTTCTTAATATTTAAACAGAAAAGGACCGTAACAAAGAGGTCTTAGTAGCATGTCTGTTATTTTTTTTCACCTTCGTCTTTTTTTATTATTATTTTTTATTTCTTTGGCTTAAGCTACCAAGAAATCTGTTGACTTAAACTGCCAATTTCTTTGCAGTTACTTCGTACCTTTTAATTGATTCAAGATTATTTTATCTTTTTCTAATTTTTAAGCCATTATTAAACTCTAATAATTTCCAAACATCTCTGGCTTATATTATTTTAGAAAGTACAAATTCTACCTACATTTCTATAACTAGTCTCTTGTGTTAAGGTTCTTAAGGAATAGCTTCCTAGCTGCTGAGCTCATTATTTTGACTTCAATTTGATCTGTAATCGCTTCTCCATTTGAGAATGTTTTTCTTGTTTTTTTCATACATCCACAACTTTTTTATTATTGTCTTATATTCATTTAGGTGAAATCTGTCCTTAATTCTCTGAGTGGAGAAGAATTAGAGACTCTAAAACTTGAATTACAGCAACTCAAAGAAACATTTTCCCTAGCAGAGTTTTGTGATGAAGAGGAAGAAGAGAAAAAAGGTAATATGAAAATTTAGCATCTGAGTAGAGAGGAAATATAGTGTTCTTATGCAGTGCATGGTGTTTAGTAAATTTGCTCTTTATTTTCTTTTTTTGTCAATGAGAATTTCTGTGCAAAGTTCTCTGTAGCTTTGCTCTTGACTAGACATTGTCAGGGGCAGTTGGCCTTATGCCCATGTCCTCTCAACTCCTCTAGGCCAAACTCTTTGTAGCTTCTCCAAGTCTAATCTTAAGATTCACATCTCTACCTATTTTTGCAGTTATAGAACTACTCTTGTCAAATTCTTGCCTCAGTTTGGTCATCTTTATAAGCTTTTATATCCCCGGATACTTTACCTGTGCTTGTCTGACTCTGATGACCCCTGCCTCCATCTTGAATTGAGCCATGCAGGGTAGTACTTACCCAAAACTTCATTTTCACAAGTTCTTTTATCCTACAATCTTAGAAAATGTAAATGGAGAGCTATTTTTTAAAATTATCAGGAAATGAAGTAGCTTATATATACAGAATAACTTCTGGGCAACTAAATCTTAAGTTCTGAGACTTGTTTTAACATCTTGGCTGGAAATATTTCTAAGATACTAACTGAATTTTTTAAAAGGTAGAATTTAATGAATACAGTTTTGCTTTTTCTTGATAAATGATCAGTTACAAACATTAAAAATAAGTGGAAAAGTTCCTTCAGTTTCCATCAAGATACAGGACTAATCACCCATGTGGTAGATTAAATCAATAGTCAACAAAGTGTGGTGTGCAGACCCTTTGAGTTTGTCAAAACACTACAAAATAATACCAAGATATTATTTACTTAAAATTTTTTAAAAATATATTCTTTACTGTTTGACATTGTATCATTTTCATTTAACCTTGTCCTTGATGAAGCAGTAAAAATTACTTATTTTATATCTTGAGCCTTGAACATACATTGTTTAAATGTACTGTGTAATGCATACTGAAGTAAGATGGTTGTCTCAGGGAAAAGCATCTATATAGTTTGAGTTTTTTATTCTTACCTTTTTATGGGACACCATTTTCACTTTAAGGATAATATTCAGAATAGGATATTTGCATACTTTTTTTTTTTTTTTTTTTGCAGTTTTTGGCCGGGGCTGGGCTTGAACCCACAACCTCCGGCATATGGGGCTGGCGCCCTACTCCTTTGAGCCACAGGTGCCGCCTGGTATACATTTTTTTAAAAATAAAGGAAGTGAGTTTTTAACTTCATGGAAAGCAATTAACTGGATTTGTGACTTATGATACAAATTAAAGCTAAATGAAAGTTAGAATTTGTAAAACATATTTGCTACTGTGGTAAGTAAGCCTGATAGCTTCCCAGTGCTTACAGACTCTTCTAATGAAATCAGTGGTGGTAGGAACAAATATGATTTTTGATGTTTTACAGTGAAATTTGTCAGCATTTCGGAGGTCTGCATAACTCAAGAGAACCAATATTTTCCAAATGACTAGTACATGATGTTATCAAATCATGCACAAGTAAAAGTTAGACTAATGGATTTTAATTTAATGTAATTCAGTACAAAATTTTATGATAGTGTAATTCATTGCAACTAAACATTAAAAAATGACCACTTTTTGAATTTTGGCATAGTATTAAACAATATTCACAATTATCCAAAAAGGCTATTAAAATACTTTGTCACTTTCCAACTATGTATTTTTGTAAGGCTGGATTTTCTTCATGTACTTAAGACAACATATCACAAGAGATGAATATAAAAGCAGATAAGAAAATTTGTCTATTTCCTATTATGCTAGATATTAAAGAGATTTAACAAAGATAGAAAATAGTGGCACTGTTCTCACTAAAATTTTTATAGAAAATACAGGTATTTTTTCTCAAAAGTATGTTATATTAATAGACAGTGGTTTCTAAATAAATACTTTAAACATTTTTAAAATTTTCAAATATTTATCATATTTTATACGTATATATGTAACTCATGTATATGTACACACATGCACACACATAGAGGGTGCCAAAAATACGTGTACACATTTTAAGCAGAAAAGCTGTCTTATTCATACCTATCGAATGGTGATTCATTTGATTAATGCCATCCTTTGAGGGAACTTCATACTACATATTGCTATTATAATTCAATTCAACTTCAAAAAGTAATACATAGATAACACCTCTTAAAATATGTGTACATTTTTTGGTACCTCTGGTGTATAAAACTTATATTCTAAAAGCTCTTTGGAGTTCTCAAATAGTTTTAAGAGTATGAATAGGTTCTGAGACTCAAATATCTAAGAACTGGTAGATTAAATTATCTTAAAGTACAATGCTTTTAAAAATGTCTCTGATTGCTTTTTAGAATTATTTCCTTCTGTGCATTTATCTGTCCATCTTTGACTTTTCTTCACTATCAGTGAACTTGTTTCTGATATCCCCTGAATCACTTCTGTTTTTCTATTCCTGATCTGCTGTAGATGGGAAACCAGATAACTAGTATTCATTCGGGTTGTCTATTAAAGCAAAAAGCTCTGAGTGAGGGTGTTAGGGTCCTTCCAGGAGAGAAAAGTATCAATTTGAATGTGTGGATGCTGCATAGATAGCAATTTCTTCTTTTTTTTTTTTCTATTGGTGTTTTGCATTATGTCCTAAGAAGTCAGAATGGCTGATTGTGTAACATCTTGCTAAATGACATCTTATTCTATGTGAAGGTACTGGTCCTGATTAGAAAATGGCTCTTAAATGTTTACATTTTTAAAGCTGTCGGAGAAGGTAGCACAGCATGGTGAAAAAAAGAATGGATTTTGGAGTTAGACTTGGATTCAAAATCAAGATCTGCCATTTACTAAGCCATATGACCCTGTGTAGTTACTTAACACTAAGCTTCTGTTTCCTTATCTGTAAGAATGGTGTGCCAATTCCTTTCAGGTTGTTGTAGAACTAAATGAAATATTGAATGTGTGGCACATAGTAAATACTCAACAAATGCTGGCTATTATTATTTTCATTATTAGAAAGGCAGACGTAAATAGATAAAATTCCACATTTTAAAAGTTTCACTTAGGAGGAAACCTAGAAATTAATTTTGACTTCCTTAAGTTGCCCTGTTCTTCTAAGGAAGTCCTGGTATGACAGTCCCATTATTTATGAACTTAATTTATTTGTACATAGTGCCGTTAAGAGTATTTGTTCAATTTACTTAACATTTGGTTTTTCATATTAATAGCAGTTAAAAGTCCCAATCTTTAAATATTATTTAGGAGACTAAGGATTTTTCTAAACACATGGATTTGTGTCTTTGATACTTTTTTTCTCCTACATGTTCAGCAGAGATCAGAACTTTGAAAAGATAGCACTGAATTTACCCCAGCCCTTTTTCAGTAGTTTTGGTTGAAAATACAACCTGACTTTGGTGTTTAAATACATCTTAATTAAGATGTTTTAAAAATAGCAGTGGTAGCAGAGGAGAGAGAAAACCCATCTTCAGTTTCCATCAGCATCCTCAGACTTTGCCCCTTTTATACACTTGATGCCTTACCTCAGAAGGAGTCTTCCTGCTTGTGGAATCCTTCCAGTGCACTAGCCCTATCTCCTTTCCATCTTTACATACTTTTATTCTAATACAACTACTTTTTATACTCCTTTCTGTGGAAAGTATATGACAGTGATTGCCAGACATTTCTGATAATGATCCTTAGCAGTAAAAGTTTTTTGAGTACTCACACATGATGTATGGATATTTGAACAATTATAAATTATATACATGTGCTAACATAAAAGCATATTATTTACATTTTAAAATATACTCTGCAATATAATTTCTAATAGACTGAGATAAATACAAATAAAAGGTACATTATTTTTTTCCTGCACTCCGTTGGATAATTTTTGTAACCCATTTGTGTACATGCATCCCTTTATGGATTCAGATTCAACCCTTGTGCCCAAGTAACTTTTTTTTTTTCTGAGACAGAGTCTTACTCTGTTGCTCAGGCTGGTGCATGAGCAACAGAGTGCCAGGCATTAGCCTAGCTCATAGCAACCTCAGATTCCTGGATTCAAGCAGTGCTCCTGCCTCAGCCTCCCAAGTAGCTGGGATTAAAAGAGGTGGGGATCTTGCTTTTGCTCAGGCTGGTCTCAAACTTCTGAGCTCAAGTGATCCTTGGGTTTCGACCTCCCAGAATGCTAGGAAAATAAGCATAAATCACTGTGCCTGGCTCTTAGATCTTATTTGGGAAAACGATCTAAAAGTCAAGTTTTATATTTCAGATTGTAGGATATTATTAGGAATTGTTTAGATGAGTTATGTTGGTCAGAGTTGTATCAGTGAGTGAGATCAGCTTTTCTAAAACCCTATTATATAATACCTGAGATCACTAAACCATTTTTGTCTTAAACAAAAAGGATATGGATATAGAGAGAAGAGCCAAAATACACTTATTTTTTCTTGGGGATATTGGGAGGGATACCAAGCATGAAGCAGGAATAATTTGCCTTTGCAAGCCATGGACTGGTGAATTAAGAAATATTTGTAGAGATTGTACATATTTGAAGGTTTCTATGTACAGGAATTTTCCTGGATTCCATGTTACAAAGGAGCCTTGGATTGGGCCTCAAAGGAGGAAATGGGTAGGATTTAGATGAATGGAGAGGGAAAGGGAACATTTCCTGACATTAGTTTGGATGTGTTAATTGTTTTGTGAACTTGACTTAATCATTTGCTTGTATGTTTCTCAAGTATTTTGGAAGTTCTATGTTCCCTATCGTCTCTTACCAGGGTAACTCTTTACAGCTTCTTTATCATCCTTTCAGCATGATAGGAATTCCTTTTCCTTTTCTTTTCTTTTCTTTCTATCCATGATTATCTCTTATTTGGATTCTAGATTATTGTCATAGCCTTCTGCCTCCTTTCTTGTTCCCTTTCTAATTCATTCTCCACCCAGAAGCCAAAATGATCTTTTTAAAATTTAAATTTGATCATGTCTATCTTGGCTTGAAAACATTCAGTGGCTCTTTACTCCCATAAAGTTTGAATTACTCAGTATGGTTTATAAGGCCCTTTATGATCTGGACCTTATCTTTCTAGCTTCAATTCACCCGTTTCTCCGCCCTTACCTCAGACATTCTCAACCATGTTGAATGTCTTGCCACGCTTTCGTCTACCTCTGGTTCCTTAAACAATTTTTCTCTACCAGAAACTTCCCATTCTTCTGGTTAACTTGTACTCATCTTTCATGTTCCAACTTAATTCTGCTTCTTAGAAGCACATGCGCAGTACCGGCTTAGTAGTCTGCCATCATTGCTTGTCCATTCATACTCTGCGATGCACTGCAAAAAGTGTAGGATTTGGACTAGGAGTAGAAGGGCCAAGGTTTGTCTCTGTCTTTGCTATGAGATCTTGGGGTGGTCACTTAACATCTTCAGAGTCTCATTTTTTCATCTCTGAACTGGGATAATGACACTTTTCTCACACATTCAAGCAGTTATTGATATAATATACACAAATGGGTTCTGAAAGCACCATGCTCATGTAAATTATTGTTGTTATTGTTCTTACTGCTCCTGTGCTCCTACTGCAGCTCCTGTACTCTTTCTCCCTGCCCTCTTCCTTGTGGTCCTCAGCAGTCTTTCTTGAGTGTTTTATATGAGACTTGGTTTTTTAGGGGATGAAGATTTTACCAAAGAGATAACAGAGCTGTTTTCCCAGCTGCATGTCTCCTCCAAACCAGAGAAACTTGCCAAGGTAAGTTATTATATTTTGGTGATATCCATTTCTTTACTTGTAAGAATTTAGTGGAATTAGAGCATAAGACTGTAAATTCTTGGCAGTGGTCACCTAAAAATCAAGGGTGTATTCTTAGTATACCCAGAAGGGGTTCTATACCTTCTACTTGCCTCCTGCTCCCTTAGCTTAGTGTGTTGAAGCCACATCTGCTCTCTAGCACTTGTTCCATCCTCACCTGTTTTCATTTGGAATGCTTTGCATGTCTAAAAACTTACTTTAGGCCACAGTGTTGGTAAAGTTGGCAGTGCTGACCAACCTCATGATATCAGTGGGCAACTCTGAGTCTTAGAGGTCTGAATGGTCCAGAGATGTGGCCCTTGCCCATGTGAATTGGAGGTTGTCATTTCTTATAGCCACCTGACTCAAATAATGATCACTTAGCATTTGGAAATGAGGGAGTACTATGGCCAAGGCCTTCATCTTTGGTGGTGACTTTTGAATTATCTTCACACATCTGGAACCTGGAGGAACTTTACTCAAAGTGGGTTGGGAAGTCCATTTCCAGAGTAATACCAACGTAACACACATGTCAATACCTGTGTATGGGACAGTATTCACTGGGCCATGGACTATTTTCTGTCTCTTCACCAGCATCTCCCAATCTTGAGAAACATTTCAGGACCATTAGCAGCAGATGCACGTTGCTTCTTGGCTGACAGCTGTTGTACAGTCAGCCCAGTCCCCATACCCCAGGACAAGGAACATGATGCTTCGTGTGTTATCCACTCTTCAGTCTTAGCAAAAATGCTACATTCTCTAAGAAAGCTTATCAAATCACCCCAGGCAGTGTATCTCCCTTATGTCAAATGCAGCCTTTCACTATAGCACTTTCCATCTTGTATCATAGTGTTTTTGTTTTGGAAATGATATCAAATTTAGAAAAAGTTGCAAGAATAGTATAAACAACCTTCATATACCTTTTATACAAACTAAAGGTTGTTAACTTCATTTATTTAATCATTTGTGCTTGCTAATATGTTCTCTCTCTCCACCCCACATAATCACTTATATACATGTATCATTATTTTTGTAATCATTTAAGAGTAACTTCATAGCTCTTTACTCCTGAATATTTCAATGTATATCTCCTAAGGATAATGATATTCCCTTACATAACCATACTATGGTTATCAATTTCAGTAAATTTAACATTGATATCATATTTTTTGTTTAATCTATTGTCCATATTCCAGTGTTGTCAATTGACCCAATAATGTCCTTCATGTCAAATTTTTTTCATTTGACACTGGAGCCAGCACATAATCATGAATTGTATTTTTAGTCTCCTTTAATATCTAATAGTTTCTCAGCCTTTCTTTGTTTTTTTATGACATTGACATTTTTGGAAATTATAAGCTCCCTCTGCTCCTTTAGAAAAACAGAGCATTCCTCATTTGGGGGTTTTATATGATGGTTTCTCACAGTTAAGGTCAGATTAAACATTCCTGGACAGAATATAAATGATGGGGTATCTTGCCCAGGATATCACATCTAAAGGCACATAATATCCATCTGCCCCTTGCTGTAGTAATGTAGTGTCTGATTTCTCACTTTGGAGTTAGGATTTATTTTCCTGTGCTACTAATAAACTTTTGACCTGTACCATAAAAGCAATCTGCAAAAACAATTTATAATTTTATTTTCTGCTCCTCTAATTTAATTTTTGAATATATAGGATATATATAATATATATTATATAATACTCTCTAAAAGTCAAACTCTACAAAAAATGTACTTGGAGAAGTGTTAGTCTCTTTCAGTGTCCTTCTAATGCATTCTCCTCTCTCCTTTTAGCTTTTTCACTTTGTTTTCTGGCTTATCCTTCTGTGTTTCTTTTTGTAAAGATAAGCAGTTGTATTTCCTTATCTTTTTCTCACACAAAAGTTAACATATTTGTTCTTTAGCACTTTTTTCCCTCAACCTTGTGCATGTGTATTTTCATAAATTTATTACAGTTTTGGCTCGGCGCCTGTGGCTCAAGCGGCTAAGGCGCCAGCCACATACACCTAAGGTGGCGGGTTCGAATCCCCAGCCCGGGCCCGCCAAATAACAATGATGGCTGCAACCAAAAAATGGCCAGGTGCTGTGGCGGGCGCCTGTAGTCCCAGCTACTTGGGAGGCTGAGGCAGGAGACTCGCTTGAGCCCAGGAGTTGGAGGTTGCTGTGAGCATGATGCCATGACACTCTACCCAGGGGGATAGCTTGAGGCTCCATCTCAAAACAAAACAAAACAAAAATTTATTACAGTTTTAAAAAACATTTGTATCTTACCTCCTGTTCGAAATCTTAGATTTCTTCAAGGCAGAATCTATGCATAATTTGTCCTTAAAATCCTAATTCTATTACTTTTTACTTCCTATGTGGCCTTGAGCAAGTTGTTTAACCTTTTTGTGCCTCAACTTCTCTTTCTTTGGGATGGGAGTAATGTAGGATTTCTGTAAGAATTAAATGTATTCATACACATAAAGCTCTTAGAAAGTACCTGGCTCATAGTCAATAAATGCTCACTGTTGATGTCTTCACAGAAATTACCTTGATGTCCTATATATTTAGGTGTTCAGTAAACCTTTATTAGGTAGCTAGGTAACTTGTTAGGTGCTATTAAAAAGATAGAGTTTCCATGCCTAAAGGAGATTATGAAATAAATATGTTTAAAAGACCAGTAGCTCCTTATCTGTCTGGTAGTTCTAGTGATTCTCTGAAAGCAGTCTTTTTATTTAAATTTCAGGCATTAAGACTTATTATGTAGAATAGTTAAGGAGCAAAGCCTTAACTATCAATTCCCTAAGAGTTTATGTAGGAGGCTGTGATGTAGGAGAAAGAACACTGAAGTGAGATTGTGGAAATAAGATTTTTATTCTGACACATGTGGTATGATCTTGGGTAAATCCCATTCCTTATTATCTTTCAGGCCTTATTATTTTTCAAATCAAAAAAATAAGTAGTTATAGAAGCTAAGCTCTCTTAAAGGTACCTTTTAATGTCCAAGTCTCCAGGTCTCACTAATGCGCCGTTCCAGATTGAACAATGGGGGCAGGAGACTAGGAAAGGATAATAAATTACCTTGAGCTGGCAATATGGTTCATGATGATTTCACTTTGGATAGGCACTATGCCTAGTAAAATAACTCCTTCAAATATATTAAATTTACTATATTAGTTTTTTTCTTTTATGTGGCTATATCACTCTTTTTTTCTTTCTTTCTTTTGCATTTTTTGCTGGGGCCTGGCTTGAACCCGCCACCCCCGATATATGGGACTGGCGCCCTACTCCTTGAGTCACAGGCCCTCCCTCTCATTTTTTTTTTCCATTTTAATCTCAGATAAGTTAATCCTTAGTTTTTCTCTCATTTTGTCTCTTCAAAGAAATTGCCAAGAATTTAACATACGGTTTGGATTATTAGTCACTTATTAGGATTTTTTTTTAAAGACAGTTTTACTTTGTCACCCTCTATAGAGTGCTATGACTTTATACCTCACAGTAATCTCAAACTCTTGGGCTCAAGCAATCAATCCTCTTACCTCAGCCTCCCGAGTAGCTGAGACCACAGATACCTGCCACAACACCCAGCTTTTTTTTTTTTTTTTTTTGAGATAGGGTGGGGGTAGGGGAGGTGCTCACTTTTGCTCAGGCTGGTTTTGGACTCCTACGTTCAAGCAGTCTGCCTACTGCGGTGTCCCAGAGAGCTAGGATTACAGGTGTGAGCCACCGCACCCAGCCTCCCTGTAAGGATTCTTCCCAACCTCATCTCTTAATATTCTCTCCAATAAATCTCACTATTCCAATATCATTTATCATGCTTCCCCATCCTTTATATTTTTTCCCATACTGGCCTTTGTTCTGTTCCTCAAATACACTAAGCTGATTTCCCTGTACTTAAAACTCCCTTTGTGTAGATGTTTATATGGCCAACTCCTTGTTATCTTTCAGATTTCAGCTCAAATCTCACCCTTCAGAGACCATTTCTGTCTACCCAAACTCTAGCCACCTTCTACCCACTCAGCCCATATTCTCTGTTACCCCGTTTTATTTTCTTCACACATGCATTTGTTTGTTACTTCTCTTTCTTCACTAGCATAGAGAAGATCAGATTCTGACCTTTTCTATGTCTTGACAGTAGATGACACATCTGTAATAAATGAATGAATTTTTCTTTTATTTTGAGCCGAGGTCTTGTCCCATCACCCAGGCTGAAGTACAGTGATTGATCATAGTTCACTAAACCCTCAAACTCCTGGGCTTTAGGCAATCCTTCTATCTTAGCCTCCTAAGTAGCTATGACAGCAAGCATATACCACCACGCCTGGCTATGTTTTAAAGTTGTTCATAGGGATGAAGTCTGGCTGTGTTGCCCAGGCTGGTCATAAATTCCTGGTCTCAAGCAGTCCTCTTCCTGTGGCCTCCCACAGTGTTGGGATTATAGGCATGAACCACTACATCGACTAGTGAATGAACAAATAAATGCCTTTACCCTGTACTCTGATCTTACTAGATATTTAAGTATTTTGCTCAACACACTTTGTGTTTTTCTGGTTCCCATCTTTATTTAGTTCATTCTTACTGGTTCTTTGAATTTGGAAGGTTAATGCTTAAGAAGTAATGAGAAGATACAGATCAGAGCCAGATTGTTCCTAAAAGTTTTTGAGAGATTGTATAGGGAAAAGAACCCAGAAATGAATGTCTTGGAACACAGGTTCTGTGTTTAGCTCATCTGTATTGTAGCCTTGGGTGTAGCAGCAAGTAGTAATACTTAAAGGGCCAAGTCCGATTACTATATCTGTAATAAAAACTGATTTCCTTAATTTGAGACTGTTAAGAACTTCTCTGGATTTCTAATACTTTGTTACTAAGTTCAAGTAGATGCCTTCATTTATAGCAATAAATATTTCTTGAAAAGCCAGGATTCTCTTATGAAAGACAGAAACTCAAATCAGACTTGCTTAAGTAAAGAGAAGAACTGAGTAGCTCAAGAAACTAGAAAAACAGTGGGCAGGACTCACTCCACATATGGGTCTCTAGGAACTATCCTTCTCCATCTCTTGGCTCCACTTTCTTTTGTTTTGGCTTCATTCTTAGGGAAGCTTTTTTTTCCATGACAACTCTCAGTTTAGGATGGCTTTTTTTTTTTGGTTGAATAACTTCTATAGAAAGACTGCTTCCTTTTCCTAATAAATTTACCGGATGTCCAGGGCTGATGCTAATTGACCAGACTTTGGTCACTTTTCTATACATGAACTAATTACTATGTGAACAGGGAGATTAATATTCTTAGTGGCTATACTTGAATCATGTGCCAATCCTTGGAATCAGAGGATTGAAACAGCTCTACACAAATCACATGAACTAAGAAGAGTCTAGAATCTACTGCCAAAAGAAAGATAGGGATGCTGGCCTGGTAAAAACAGTAGATGTTCTACAGTGTACCAGACGCTGGTGTGCAAAGCCAAATGAGACACTCTCTAATTAAATTCCTATCATATGGAGTTTAGTTAGAAAATAGAGATACAGTTAATCCAGTATGTTTTGATAAGTACTAAATTCAAGAAGTGGCCAATAAATTTGGTAAGTACTAAATTAAAAGTGTAAGCAACGAGGTTAAAGAAGTAGGTAGAATCTATGCCATGTAGTTATATCACGAGAAAGAGTGTGATCTAGTTGATGAGGGGCCATTGAAGGAAACAAGAATAGTCAGCTCTGGGCTTGAGATAGATAACTAACTGGCAGCATTATGGAAGATGGATTTAAGATGAACCAGATCAGAAACAGGGAAACAGTCATAATGTGGACCTAAACTCACATGATGGTAGTAGGGAGGTACCGCCTGGTAGGAGGGGAAAGAAGAGAAAGAAGGGGGTACAGATTGGAGAAATTATCTTGGGTAAGATCAGACCATCTTGGTGATTGATTAGGTAGGAAAAAAATTCTAAGATGGCTCTTACATTTTGTCTCAGGTGACTGGTATATGATAACACTTCTAAAACTTTGGGAAGTAAAAGAGGATGAAATCTTTGGGGGTGGGAAGAGAAGGATGACAAGTTCAGATTTTATGTGCAGTGCATGTAGAATATCATAGCACATATGTCCAGTAAGCATTTGGGATAAATTGTTTTTAGAAGCGATCAGGGCTAGAAACTAGGATCTAGGAGTTAGCAGCAGGTCAGGGATAGTTAAAAATGACTGGAATAGGTTGGATAAAGGTTCTAAAGGGGAGAGGTGTAGAGTGAGTGAAGTCAGGAGTCAGGACTGGAAATTCATATAATACTGATGTTTAAGGGATTGGCTGAGTAAGATCAGACATGCAAGAGATTGAGGAAGAATGATCATGAAGATAGGGGAAGAACCAGAAGAGAGTGGTATTACAAAGCCAAAGAAAACTAGAAACAACACAAAGATTCATTGTCAGGAAGATGGATCAGTCGCAGTATATACTGACATGCATTGTTTAATGATGGGCATGTATTCTGAGAAATGCATCATTAGGTGATTTTATCATTATTAAAACATCATAGAGTGTACTTACATAAACCTAGATGGTATAGCCTACTACACACCTAGGATATAAATACAGGCTACAAACCTGTACATGATATGACTGTACTGAACTCTGTAAGTATTTGTGAATCTAAACATATCTAAATGTAGAAAAGGTACAGTAAAAATATGGTATTATAATCGTAGGGGGTCACTTTTATATATGTGGTCCATTGTTGACTAAGACATTGTAGGGTGCATGGCTGTTTATAAAATGAAATACTACACAGCAGTCAATAAGAATGAACTATTAATACATCTAATAACAACATAAATCTAACAGGCATTATGTTGTGCGTAAAAAGCTAGACACAAATTAGAGTGAACTTATGGTTCCATTTGTATGCATTTTAAGAAAAGGTAAGATTAATTTATAGTGAGCAGTAGAGTGCTTGTCTTTGGGCAAGAGAAAGGGGACATGGTTTGAGCTATATTGACTAGGAAAGGGCATGAAGGGGCCTTATGGAAGGGAAGGTAATGGTCTATACGAGGGCTGTCCCAAAAGTATCCAGCCTTGTACTGCGAAAAAAACTATTAACATGGCAATGATGTTGGTGAGCTAAATTGAATTGTTGCTGGACAATAATCTTTTTCTTATTTAGGCAAGAAATACTGCCCACGAATGGATCAGAAAATCTCTGACTAAGCCATTAGCAGAGAAAGGAGAAGAAAAACAGTCGGAAGCAGAAAATAATGAACGAGTCAATGAAAATTCAGTAGAGGTAGGCAAAGCAACTAAGTTGTTTTTCTTTTTTTAATTTCAAAATATTAAGGGGGTATAAATGTTTTTAGTTACATGGATCGCTTTTGTAATACCTAAATTACAGGCTTTTAATTTCGAGATGTGGGCGTCACAACCAGGGACCCAGGCTCCTTCTATTATATTGCACTGCTGCTCATAATTTCAACCTTGTGATCCATGATTGCAGCATCTTAAATCCAGACTTTAAGATTAAAGGAGTGAAGAAAAAAGAGAAAGGGTGTTGCATGTATGCTGTGTCATGGGGAAGGTTCCTAGAAGCTGTTACCAGGCACTTTTTATCTAAACCCCAAAGTTAGTCACATGGCATATCTGACCTTAGGGGAGCCTTTATTTTTGTAGTTGTGAGAGCAGCTGCATGGAAGAAAACAATGCTTATTGAAGGGCAGCTATTTGTTTTTCCTATTTTCAAAATATTCATCCTTCAGTGTGAGAGAAGCAAGCTGGTATTTCCACTGGAAGAAAAAAAGAAAACATGTTTTATTATGCTTTGTTTTGTTTTTCTACCCAGGATATCCATGCATTTGCAATCCGGAGCCTAGCAGAACTGACTGCCTGCTCAATTGAATTGTTCCACAAAACAGCAGCCTTGTTGCTACATGGCAGGAAGCAGGAAGTGATGGCCATAGAAAGGAGCCAAACTCTTTCTCAGTGAGTGTATGAGTAGCCCTTTAAGTAATATAACATGTTGAAAGAGTTATCTCAGCTTATTTCTAAGGTTTTAGAAATTTGCCTTTCAACAGGAAGGATACCATTCACATTGTACCCATTCACATATTAGAAGTTTGTTCATTTTTCTTTTCCTTGAGCCATACGTCTGTATTATTAACTTAACCTTTCGATTAACCAGCTTATGCTTTAAAAATTATTTCCTCATAGATTGTTAGTTTTAATAGGAATGGGATTTGGTATGAGTAAAAGTAGAAAACAGTTCTAAGAATCTCAAATCTTTGTAATGGTTATTAGTTCCTGAGTGCTAATTGTATGCCAGGCACTGTGCTAAGGAATTTACATGTGTCATTTCTAATTTTTTTTAACAATGTTAAAGGTGAGTTATTTCGTCCAACTTTAATAATGAGGAAACACAGACAAGAGAAGTTTAAGTAATATGCCCAGATTTTGTGGCTAGGGATTTAGACCTAGGTCTGATGAAGTCACAAACTTACCCTTTTTCCTTACCTTATTACTGATTTTGAACAAAAATATTGACAAATAGTAGAATGTAGGTAATGACAGAAGGGAAAAATAACAGTCAAGTAGTTTTAGCAAATCTCTTTATTGAAATAAGGGGAATTTGTATTGGGAAAACAAAAGTGTGTGAGAGTGTGTTAGGAGTGGGAGGAGCTGTTGATGTGCTCAGGACCTCCTCTTCACTGTGGCATTACTGCCCTGCAGCATCCCAGAGAGGGGAGCCTAGTTTTGTCTTCTTGAACACATTTAAGGATGAGACACTCATAACCCCAAAGCCACCTGTTCTGCGGAAAAGTGGCTATTCCTGCTGTTTTCAGTGCTTTTCGAGTTGTGGCTCATTCCCTCACAGAATTCAGGTCTTTACTCAAATGCTGATTTTTCAGAGAGGCCTTTTTTCCCCTTATCTAATTTGTTATCCTTCTTCGTTTTCTTAGTTCATATCACCACCTAGTGCTTATGTGTGTATTTGAATATGTGTATATATTTATATGTGCATATTTGTGTGTGTGTGTGTACTTATAGTCTTCCCCTAATTTAGCATGTAAGTTAGAATTCATGAAAATTTGGACTTTGCTTATTCACCTATATGTCCCCAGTGCTTCAAACAGTGGCTGATAGAAGACTTTAAGTAAACATTTGCTGAATGAAGGCATACATGTTTCATTTATATTTCTGAATGGAATGTAGGATCTTTTAAGTACTATGCTGTCACCTTAAAATGTATTTTAATTATTTCTTTTGATTTAACTTGGAAGTATAGTACTTTCTAGATGATTTTACAGAAAAGTATTTTTCTAAGGACTGAACTTCCTTTTCCTGCTGCATGAATGCCTACTTAAATGGGTCCCCAGATATTAATACGTTAGGTAGCTGATTTAGGCAGACCGTAAGTCTCCCTTACCCACAGAGGATTCATTCCAGGTTCCCAGTAGATATTTGAAACTATATAATACTGAACCTGGTTGCCATCAATCAGAACACATTTCTGTTCATGTTTTTCACTCACAAATTTAGTGCCTTTTACATCTTAACTAAGCACTTATCAGACACTGTGACTATAACTTTTGTAGTTTGTAGTACAATGAAAAAATAGCATGAATTTCTTTTTTCCTTATTCACAGTTTCATGGATAGAATAGTCATTCTTACTGTAGATCTTACTGTAGATCTTAGCAACCTCAGAATATTTTTAAGAAAGCACTTTATGGCTTCTCTTTGGCAAGTTCAAATTGTCAACATCACTGCTTTTGAGCTGTCTTAGTCTGTTTGATGTTGCTGTAACAGAATATCTGAGGCTAGGTAATTTTTAAAGAAAAGATGTTTATTTGGCTCATGATCTGGTGACTGGAAACTCCAAGAGCATGGCATAGAATCTGTTTGGCTTCAGGTGGGGACCAGGTGCTGCTTCACAATATGACAGAAGTAGACAGGTGAGTGGGTGTTTGCAAAGAGACATGCACTAGAGGTGGGCTTGCTAACAACCAACCCTTGTGGCAACTCATACATTTCCATGAGCATAGGACCTCACTCGCTCTCTAGAGATAGCCATTAATCTATGAAGGTAGTGCTTCCATGATCCAGATATTTCCCACTATTCCCCATCTTCCAACACTGTCATACTGGGAATCAAATTTCAACAAGAGTTTTGGAGGGGATATACCCAAACCACACCAGAATCCCTTATTAAGTAACATAAGAGTTACTTGAACGTGTGTGCTATGATACCATGATAGTCAGTCTGGTAACTGAGATGGCTACTAAGTTACTAATGAGTAAGTAGTGCATTCAGTGTGGACATGCTCAAAATAGGGATAATTCATGCCCTATGTATGACTATGTGAGATTTCATCATGCTACTGAGAATGGTGTGAAAATGTAAAACTTTTATGAATTATTTCTTAAATTTTCTATTGAAAATTTTCAGATTGCAGTTGACCACAGGTAACTGAAACTGCGGAAAGAGCAACTGTGGATAAGGGGGGACTATTGTATTACTCCCTTTAAAAGCTTTCTTCTTTTACATTTATTATAGTAATAGGAATGATTGGTTTTCTTTTGATACTTTATATAACTTATAAAAAGGAGAGAACTTTCCTGACTTAGTTTTCTTTCCTAGGATGACAGTTATGTTGTGTAAAGAGTTATCCTTTCTGTCTAAAGAGTTCACCACCTGTCTAACAACAGCTGGGGTAAGAATTCATGCTTCTTAATGGACTAATGTCTGTTTTGGTGCTTTTTAGCAGCTTGATTTTTTTTATAATAGCAGTTTATATACCATAAAATTTACCTATTTCAGTTGTTCAGTTCCCTAATGGCAAAGGATGTTGAGCATCCTTTCATGTAATTCTTGTCCATTTGTATAGCTTCTTTGGAGAAACCTCTATTCAAGTACTTTGCCTATTTTTTGAATTGGATTATTGTTTTATTAATGACTTACAGGAATTCTTTGTACCTTCTAGGTACAAATCTGTTTCAGATACAAGATGTACACAAATTTCCTCCCAGTCTATGAGTTGTCATCTCACTTTCTTGGTGGTACATAAGTTTTAAAATAATGACAAGATATATCTTGTCAATATTCTCTTTTATCACTTGTGCTTTTGATGCTGCTTTATCTAAGAAATCATTCCCTGCCCCCAAATCATGATTTTCTCCTGTGTTTTTGTCTGAAGTTTGTTTTAGTTCTTACATTTATGTCTGTGATCTTTTTTGAGTTAAATTTAGGGCTATGGTGTAAGGTAGGGGTGCCTGCCACAACGGCTGGCTATTTTTTATTGCAGTTTGGTTGGGGCTGGCGCCCTACTCACTGAGCCATAGGCGCCGCCCATTAAAGTTTACTTTATGAGGTCCAGCTTTATTCTTTTGCATGTGTTTATCTAGTTGTCCCAGCACCATTTGTTGAAAAGACTGCTTTTTCCTCATCACATTGTTTTGGTCCCTTTGTAAAAAATCAGTTGACCATAGATACAGGTTTATTTCTAGACTCCTATTTCTAATCTATTGATCTGTATGTTTGTCCTTATGCCAATACCATATTGTCTTGACTACTGTAGTTTTGTAAGTGGTTTTGAATCAAGAAGTGATTACTTGAACTTAGTTCTTATTTTCAAGATTTTTTTACTATTTTGGGCCCTGTGCATTTTTACATGAATTTTAGGATTAGCTTATCTATGTTTTAACAGATTTTTACAGCTCATTTTTATTCTCTTTTTATGAAGTCTCCGGTTTTCTTTAGGCTGCCCTGTGGGACCTATAATGGAAATGTAGACCTTGATAAAATTAAACTTCCAAATTTTGATGCTAGTTTTAAGGAGCTGCTGCTAACTTAGATTATTAGACTGTGGTAATATGTCTTTGCTGGACAGTTAAGGAGCTGTAAAGTGTGTTTTTCTTTTTTTAATTAGAGTTGTAAAAATTTAGAGAAAGTGTGTCAACTATGGAAGATGATTGAGAAACCAGTAATGAGTTAGGATAAAATCCAGGGAATTTTAAATAGGCAATGAGAATTACTTTATAGTAAGTATATCAGTGTCAGTGTGACAGCACAGTTACTGTGGGTTCTTAAATTTATTTTAATTAGGACCCTGGCCCAAGTTTATTTTTAAAAATTTGAGTGTAGACTTAGTGCCTGTAGCTCAGTGATTAGGGTGCTGCCCACATATACTGAGGCTGGCAGGTTCAAACCCAGCCTGAGCCTAAACAACAATGACAACTGCAATAGCAAAAAAAATAGCCCCACATTGTGGGTGCCTGTAGTCCTAGCTACTTGGGAGGCTGAGACAAGAGAATTACTTAAGCTCAATAGTTTGAGGTTGCTGTGAGCTGTGATGCCATGACACTCTACCTGGGGTGAAATAGTGAGACTCTGTCTTAAAAAAAAAAAATTGAGTTTATATTTTTTTTTTTTTTGCAGTTTTTGGGTGGGGCTGGGTTTGAACCCTCCACCTCCAGCATATGGGGCTGACGCCCTACTCCTTTGAGCCACAGATGCTGCCCTAGATTATTTTTATTTTTATTTTAATAATGTTTTTGAGACAGAGTGTCACTATGTCACCCTTGGTAGAGTGCTGTGGCATCACAGCTCACTGTAACCTCAAACTCTTGGGCTTAAACAATTCTCTTGCCTCAACCTCCCAAGTAACTGGACTATAGGCACCTGCCAAAACGCCCAGCTATTTTTTGTTGGAGCTGCCTGGGTCCGGTTTGGGTCCTGTTACCCTTGGTGTATGTGGCTGGCGCTGAGCCTTGAGTTTTTTGTTGCAGTTTGGCTGGGGCTGGCGCCCTACCCACTAAGCCATAGGTGCTGCCCATTAAAGTTTACTTTATGAGGTCAAATCTTTTTTTTTTTTTTTTTTATTAAATCATAGCTGTGTACATTAATACTGTCCTAGGGTACAGTGTGCTGTTTTTATATACAATTTGAAATATTTTCATAAATCTGGTTAACATAGCCTTCATGGCATTTTCTTAGTTATTGTGTTAAGACATTTATATTCTTGGCTCGGTGCCTATAGCTCAACCGGCTAAGGCGCCAGCCATGTACACCTAAGGTGGCGGGTTTGAATCCGCAGCCCAGACCCGCCAAACAACAATGACGGCTGCAACCAAAAAATAGCCGGGCGTTGTGGCAGGCGCCTGTGGTCCCAGCTACTTGGGAGGCGGAGGCAGGAGACTCGCTTGAGCCCAGGAGTTGGAGGTTGCTGTGAGCTGTAATGCCACGGCACTCTACCCAGGGGGACAGCTTGAGGCTCTGTCTCCAAAAAAAAAAAAAAAAAAAGACATTTATATTCTTCAATTAGAAAAATTCACATGTACCCTTATAAGATGAACCATAGATGTGATCCCACCAATCACCCTCCCTCCACCCATCCTCCCCCTTCCCCTCCTCGCTCCCTTTCCCCATATTCTTTTATAGTTTTTCTTCCATTCTTGAGATACTTTGCTAAGAAGAATATTTTCCAGGTCCATCCATGTAAACATGAAGGAGGTAAAGTCTCCATCCTTCTTTAGGGCTGCATAGTATTCCATGGTGTATATATACCACAATTTATTAATCCATTTGTGGGTCAGTAGGCACTTGAGCTTCTTCCATGACCTAGCAATTATGAATTGGGCTGCAATATATGAGGCCAAATCTTTCCATATGTTCCATAAAGATATTTTAAGCTGGCAAATCAACTACAGGGTACCAAATATGTGGATATTAAATTTGCATTGTTTATTTCCATGAAATAAGACTTTTCTAAAAAACAGCCTGTCCAAAACTATTTTTTGAACACATGTTTCTTATCTTCATATTTTGTTTAAAATGATTATGTTTTGTGATCACATATACTTTTCCCATCCCCCTCTTCCAGAATGGGGATACCTTTTAAAGTTAATAAAAAACTATAAAGCAGTATACTCTCAATATGGATAGCAAGAAAGGTATAAAGAAGGAAGTTTAAAGCATGTAAATTTTACCTTCTAGGGATGGCATTTTGCTCTCAGTCCACATTTGCTGTGCTTATATTTATATGTGGAAGTATATATGTTTCAAAGAGGGGTTATATTCATTTATTGTTTTTAATCTGCTCTGTTCACTTTTGAAGATTTTTTTAATCTTTGTATCCTTTATTCCAGGTCAAAGAAAAGGCAGATATCCTTAACCCATTAATCACTGCAGTATTTCTAGAGGTAAGTCATAATTGTTTTAAGTCTCGGTAATAAGACTCTTATTAATTAACCCTTCTTAAGTCTTTAGCTTTTGGCTTTTTGTTTTGTTTTGTTTTACCAGATAAGTAGTTTAGTCATGTTGCTGCAGATGTGACCAAAATAGTGTATATTTAATGTGCATATCCTGCTCATTAATTACAAAGCATTAAGTTGAAGCTGTAGGATAAAGTAGAGTGGAAGAAACATAGACTGTCATTACTTAGTACTGCCTCTTGCCAGCTTAATGGACAATTCTCAGTAATGAAACACCTTCTAGATACCAACTGGTAAATGTGAAGGGCTAAAATTTCAATTATAAACAAGGAAGCACTCCTTCCTGAAGAAGAGGAGATTTGTAACAAAACAAAACATTTTGTCATTTTCTTGCCAAAAAATCTTGCTTTGTTTTTTCAAAAAGGTACCTGTGTTCCTGTGTTCTCATAATCTTCATTATTCCGTTAGAAGGAGGTATTTGGTTTAAGTCCATGGAAAGAAGGTGTAAGAACATCCTATGATTGATTATATTACTTATGTAATGCTTTCTTGATTATATTTTTTAAGAATTCTATCTTGTAAATTAATTTTGCAAACAGACTTTTGATGATCTGTTTAAAACATCTTTATGTAAGTCTGGGGGAGAAAATATATTTGATACTTAGGTTTTAAATATGAATTGAAAAAAATTTTAACTGCTAGATAGTTCTTTAATTTTAAATTCTTTTAAAATTAACTTGAAGTAAATAATCTTAATTCCTTAACCACATAGTTTTTTTTCAATAGTCAGGGATTATTTGAACAATTTAAAAAAATGTAAGTTTGTGTTGATAAATGGCAGAATGGTATATTTGAAAGAACTTTGCAAACCAGGAGCTTAATCCTTCCCTGAATCTTCCTTGACTTGTAATATGACTGTGGGCCAGGAATTACCTTCTTGACAAACTCATTATTATTTTTATGTCTATAATAACAGTTTTAACTAGATGATATCTGAGATTTCTTCTAGCTTGAAAACTTAGTGTCAAATGTCACCCTAAGAGCAGTGCCTCAGGGTGGCTCAGTGGGTAGAGTGCTGGCCCCATATACTGAGGGTACTGGGTTCAAACCCAGTAGCTGGGCATTGTGGCGGGCACCTGTAGTCCCAACTACTTGGGAGGCTGAGGCAAGAGAATTGCCTAAGCCCAGGCGTTGGAGGTTGCTGTGAGCTGTGTGACCTATGGAATTCTACCAAGGGTGATAAAATGAGACTCTGTCTCTACAAAAAAAAAAAAAACAACAAAAAACAAATGTCACCCTGAGGTTTAAATGGTAATACTTGCCATTGATAAATTCAAAACAGGTAGTATCATTTCATATTGGTTTCTTATTGAGATGGAAGTATATCTAGACTGTGTCATCTTTGAATGCAGGGTTCCCTATTAATATTTGCAAGTAGATATCTTGTGTTCACTGACTGCATTTAGTCCATGGAAGAAGAGCTGTTAAAATGGGTTGGATATCTTATAGATGCAGGATTTATAGCCTTCTGAAAGCCTCTTGCAATAATTGACCGCAATACTACAGCAGAATCTACCCACTCAGTCAAGGAATAAATAAGCTTTGAATGCCAAATTTGAGCAGTTACCAAAGAACAGTTGTCATTTTTGATAGGCAAGTTAAACAAAATGCTGATGTTCTTTTTTGGTGCTATTGTATTAACTTAGGAACTAGATTCTTCTTCTGCCTATAATAGAGTTTACCAAAATGGCCAAGTCTGTGTTTTTATTTGCCAAGCTAAAAATTCAGTGTTAGAGTGCAGAGATTAGTCTGTTCTTTTGTCGTCTTGCACTATATTTTAAGTGACTGTGATTTTTTCTTGTTTTTCCAAACCTAGGCATCAAATAGTGCCTCCTACATCCAGGATGCCTTTCAGTTACTCTTACCTGTACTACAGATCTCTCTCATTGAGAACAAAATGGAATCATCTAGACATGAGCAGCAGAGCCAGAGGCCTTTGTCTGAAGAGTGAAGAATAGAGAGAATCCACTTGGGACTTGTGATAGTCAAGAAGTGCTACTTTCTTCTGGGTACCTACAGAAATAAAGGCATAGAGTTATTTCAGTATATAAAGGTTTAGGAAGGAGAGCGGGTTTAAAGAGAAGGTTTATTGCCTTCACCACTTGGGTGAAGTATTCAGGCCCTCTCACTATTATTCTCAGTTGTTTTAATTAATAAATTATTGGAAAAGAAACTTTTGTACAAAGTCCAATAATGGCTGTAGATAAAGATTAGTGGGACACTCAGGCAAAAATGTTGGTCTTACCTTGAACTGTTACAAACCACTAACAGTTTAGTTATGGATTTAATAGCCCATGGATATAATTAGATGTTGAGCAAGGAGACAATTTACTATTCCAGAATTCATGACATGCTTGGTCTATTAATGTCATATACTTCTTTTGAGAATAAAATTTATGGCTTTAAGAAAACTGGGCATATATAAACTCTGTAATGATTTCATTTATCACATGAATTCTTGAAAACGGGTAGAAGGTTTCTTCTGCTCTTTAAATCTCAGTAGATATTTGGAATTGAGAAGAAACTTGATCCTTGTAGCCACATAAATTAACTATAGCAAAGTGCCCTGTAGCTTCAGATTTCTCCCTCACCCCGGGATAACAAGTTTCAAATTGTAGCTGACCCTCTCAGCTGGATCCAAGACCATGAAGTGCAATTTAGGAAAATGGTGTCATGATTTGCCGATATTCTGAATCTCTCAAGGATGTTTTTCATGCCTACTCTATCTTCAGGATACATTTCTTAAAACAGCCAACTCCAAAGGAGTGTTGAAGCTCTTTTTAGTAATGGGATGTTTGTTATTTGAGTATTGTTGAAGTGGACTGTACACTCCTAAGGAAATGATGTTCATTTATAACAAGATTTAACCTCTAAGATACAATGCATTTTTTCCTTATACTTTTATGTTTGTTTTTATGTATTCTTTGGTATGTTTTAAAATACAACTTTTATCTTCCAGATCTTCTTTTGTTGTCTTCAACAACTTATGAGACTATTAAGATGTCATCTTCCTAAAAGCTATTTTGGTATGCACTTTTAAAGAAAGTTCTACAACTTTGTGGTTTTTAATGATTAAGGTAACTTTTGTGAGCTCTTTCCCTCATCTTCTAAAACCTTTAAAATAAAATGTAATGATTGTGTTAATTTATTTTTTCATTTACTTTTCTAAACATGAGTCCCAATATCTTTCTCAAATCAAAAAAATAGCAAAGTGAAGCAATAGCATAGATTGGTATCAAGACTGTTCCTGTGTAATCTTCTTTGGGATAGAGGCAGTTAGTAAGCGAAAAAGAAAATAAGTAGATTTGGATTTAAAAGGTATACCAACAACACTAAAATGTTGTTCTGCTTATCTTCTGTTTTAATATGATGAGAAAATTTCTGAGTATTTCTTTTTAGAGACAAATTTCACCCTTCACAACTTAAATAATTCTGAAATTTCAGAAAAACAGTTGCATTATGGTTATTAAAGCTGGTCTCTCTAGTCCTAAATTGTTACCTCAAGCTGAATTACTGTGTCTGAATCTGTTTCTCTTGAGCAAAGTTTAGAAACTGGACAATTGCCTATTACCTTTTAGGCTCTTGTGCAATGACAGTTTGTCAGCTTTAACTCTAATATAGAAACACGTATTTCAGGTTTTTCTTTAAAGAAGTGAAATATAGATACAAGGTAGAGAGCAGTGACTGATGACTGTTTTTACGTACTTTCCCAGATTTCAGTTCTGAATTTGTCCCATTTTATTTTATTTTTTAATTTCTGATTAATTTGAGGGTACAAATACTTCGGTTATATTGTTAGTGCTTGTTAGGTAAAGTTCAAATTGTAGTTGAGTCCTTTATCCAGGTGGTGTGCTGTAGTGCCCTTAACATTGTACCCATTAGGTGAGAGAACTTTCTTCAGAGAAGGTTCTGTTTACATCTCTTGTCCACTTATAAATGGGATTTTTAGAGTTCTCTGTAGATTCTAGTTATCAGCCCTTTGTCAGATTCATAGCTTGCTTTAGTTGTGCTGACCCTCTCTCAGCTGAGTCCTGGATCCAAGTTTTTAGCTTGGTCATGTCCCATTTATTTATTTTTGATGCTGCTACAATTGCCAAAGGGGTCTTACTCATAAAATCTTTGCCCAGGCTGATATTGCCAGGACTTTTCCCCACATTTTCTTCTACAGTTTTATTGTTTCATGTCTTAAATTTAAATTTTTTATCCAGAACTTGGCCAATTTTAGGCTTCATAAAATTAGGTAAATGTGACTCACTGCCTCTTTTTTTTTTCTTTTTATCTTTCCCATCAGTTTGCCCCATCTATCCAGATTATTATTTTTTGGCCAGAGCTGGGTTTGAACCCACCACCTCCAGCATGAGGCTGGTGACCTACCCTTTGAGCCACAGGCACTGCCCTATCCAGATTCTTTAATGAATTTGGGGATTACTAGTGAAATGATGAAAGGGCCACTTAACAATTGCCTGCTCTTTACCTAGAATATAATAAAAAATTCAAGGGTTTTGATTTAGTAGAGATAGGTATACACATTTATGGACAGGTGAATAGGTATGATTTTGGAACCTACGGGATGATGGTGATGGTTTTTGGATGACACATACTTCATTATTCCATTTGGAATGTGTACATGATGTAGTTTCTTGATGATACCCAACTCTTTTTGTACTAGTTTACTTTTAATTTTCTGGTGTCTTAAGATTTATCACTAATGACTAATGCCTAATGAATAATCACTAATGACTAATGCCTAAGGAATTAGGCATTCCTAATGCCTCCTAATGCTGCAACCCTTTAATATAGTTCCTCATGTTGTGGTGACCCCCAACCATAAAATTATTTTTGTTGCTATTTCATAAGTAGCCACTCCCCTTTATAATCACTTAATCCCTTGATAGATGAAATGTTCAGTTATTCCTGTGGTAAATGCTTCCTACTTTTAAGATCTTAAAAGGCTGTGATTATAAGAGACTTCACTAACTTGATCTAAAAGAAATATAAACTTCTATGAACTATTAATAATTCTCGTTTTCCTTTATATCATACCTTAGAAATATATTAAAGGCAAACTATATTTTCCTTACTTGCTTTTGATAGTTGTTTATTTTTTTTCTAAAGCATAGGTACCTAGATTGACAGGCCTGTGAAATGTGAAATTATAATTCATTAGGTTTCGTTACCACAATCTGAAATCAGTGCTGGGGGCGTAAATGTGAATTTTCCAATCCTATAATCAGAAAATAAGGTCTTGTGGGTTTACTGCTAAAAGAAGATCCTCTTTTTTGTATTTATTTTTAGGACCTTTTTGAGGGAGAGGTGTTTTCTAGGTAGTTGCTATTGATGTCCCCATTTGAGAAATAAATAGTTTACTATATTTCTAGATGTGTTCTGATTTTTAAACCCAAAATCTTCAACTTGGAAAAACCTAGAATAAAATTGTACCCACAGTGGGCTCTCATATTTCACAAATGTCAAAGATTAAAATCTTTTATTATGTCTTTAACATGTCTGTTTTCATAAAATGCTTAAAAATGAAGCATTTGAGAAATGAAGTCTAAAAATAACAATATGTCTTCTCAGATCACTGTGGAATAAAACTAGAAATCAGTTTTAAGTTATAAGAGGAACTCTCAAAACTACACAAATATGTGGAAATTAAACCTACTGAATGATCCTTAGATCAATGATAAAATCAAGATGGAAATTAAAAGAATTTTCAAATTGAATGAAAAAAATAATACAAACTTATAAAAACTCAGATATAGCAAAAGCAGTGCTAAGAAGGAAAAAAGACAGAATGATTACAAATTAACATACTAATATCACACCTCAAGGAACTATTAATAGGAAAAGAAGAAGAAACCAAACCCAAAGGTAGCAGAAGAAAAGAAATAACAAAAATCAGAGCAGAATGAAGTGAAATGGAAACAAAAAGAAAATACACAAGATCAAAGAAACAAAAAGTTGGTTCTCTGAGAAGATAAAATCAATGTATCACTAGGTAGATTTAACCAGAAATAGAAGAGAAAGGACTCAAAACAGCTCAATCAGAAATGAAAAAGGTACACCACCAAAATACAAAATATCATCCGTGACTACTGTGACAACCTCTACAACCAGTGGTTCCCAACCTTCCTAATGCCTCCTAATGCTGCAACCCTTTAATATAGTTCCTCATGTTGTGGTGACCCCCAACCATAAAATTATTTTTGTTGCTATTTCATAACTAATTTTGCTACTGTTATGAATTGTAATGTAAATATCTGATATGCAGAATGTATTTTCATTGTTACAAAGGGGTTGTGACCCACAGGTTGAGAGTTGCTGCTCTAAACACACAGGTCAGAAAATCTAGGGGAAATAGATAAATTTTTGGAAGTATGCAACCTCCCAAGTTTGAATCAGGAAGAAACAGAAATCCTGGACTGACCAATTATGAGTGATAAGATTGGGATAGTAATTAAAACAAAAAAATCTCAAGAAAAATAAAAGCCTTGCAACAGATTTACAGCCAAATAGTATCAGGCCTATAAAGAAGAACTGGTATCTATCCTATTGAATGTTCCATACCAGCAAGAAGGAGTGAATCCTCCCTGACTCATTCTGTGAAGCCAGTATTACCCTGATACTAAAGCCAGGAAAGGACACAATAAAACGAACAACTATACACCAATATAACTCATGAACATACATGTAAAAATTTTCAACAAAATCCTATCAAACCATATCCAACAGCACCTCAAAAAGATAATTCACCATGATCAAGTAAGTTTCATCTGAGGGATGCAATGATGGTGGTTTAACATAATAGCATTTTTAAGAGATGCAGAAAAAGCATTTGATAAAATCCAGTACCCTTCATAATAAAAACCCTCAATCAACTAGGCATAAAAGGAATATACCTTGAAATAATAAAAGCCACATATGACAAACCCACTGCCAATGTCATACTGAATAAAGATAAGTTGAAAGTATTTTCCCTAAGAACCAGAACAAGCTAAGGATGCCCACTGTCACCACTGCTGTTCAACATAGTACTGGAACTCCCAGCCAGAGAATTCAGGCAAAAGAAAGAAAGAAAGAACATATCAGCAAAAAGGAGATCAAACTATCTCTGGTTGCTAAAAATAAGATCTTATATCTAAAAAACCCTAAAGACTCCTGGAATTGATGACTTCAACAAAATCTCAGTAGCATTTCTATTTCTGTTTCTACTAGTAACAGTCAAGGACTCGATACCATTCAAAATAGGTACAGAGATAATAAAACACCTAGGATTATACTTAACCAAGGAAGTGAAAGATCTCTACAAGGAGAGCTACAAAGCATTGATGAAAGAAATGAAAGATTACACTAACAAATGAAAAAACATCCTTTGCTCATCGATTGGTAGAATCAACATCATTAAAATGTCCATACAGGCCAAAGTGATTTACAGGTTAAATGCAATCACCATCAATATCATTTCACAGAGATAAAAAAATCAAATCCCAAACATTTGGAACCAAGAAAGAGCCCAAATAGCCAAAGCAATTTTAAACAAGAAGAATGAATCTGGAGGTATTGCATTACTTAACTTCAAATTATACTATAGGGTTACAGTAACCACAACAGGATGGTATTGGTATAAATACAGACATACAGACCAATGGAACAGAATAGAGAACTTTGAAATAAGCCATATGTCTGACAAAGACAAAAACACACTGGGGAAAGGAGGCCTTATTTGAAAAATGGTGCAGAGAAATTGGATAGCTGCATGCACAGAAATGAAACTGGATCCCCAGCACTCACCATATAAAAAGTTAACTCAAGATGGATTAAAGACTTAAATGTAAGACCTGAAACCGTAATCTAAACAAACAACAACAACAAAAAACAAGGTGAAAAACTCTTCCAGACATGCCTAGGCAAAAATTTATGACAAAGACTTCAAAATCAAATATGGCAGCAATG